ATAGTATGATTTTATATTTACTTATTAACAATAGAACAACCTTTTGTCCACTATTTTTTTAATTTATCCAAAAGTAATTGTTTTATACTTTAAATTATTATACATGGTTAAAAAAAGCGAGGCATGATTTTTTATTAAACATTTTATTATGACAAGAAAAAAGATTTTATGTTTAAATTTTGCTCTCGTCAAAATAGCCTCCTTTAGCAGCACAATTTTTTTGTCATTCATTGCAAAAGTTTGTTAATTGATTTCATTCTTTTTTCATTGACACTAAGAGCTCTTTTTCATGTTTTATTACAGTCTTCTGTCAAGTTCATCCCATGCTAATTTTGGGGTGGCTTCAAACTTTTGAACTGTAGTGTATATATTAAAAAACATTATGTATTGTAGCGAGCCGTTTAAATGATGGCAATATTTCAGTAATTTTGCAATTATATTGGTAATACTTTCTGTATAAGTAATTTAAGATTCCCATCGATACCAAATAAAACCCTTGTAACAAAGAATTCTGCTTTGAAATTATTAACATTAAAAATAAATAGCCAACTATAACACAAAACAAATAAATAAGACTCAGTTTGACACTATCCTGATCCCACTTACCTACAAAAAAGATAATCAATTCTTATTTTAACGCGAAGTATATTCGTTCAATGACCTCAAGCAGAGTCCCCTGTTAACTACTAACAATCAAATCTCTCATTAATAAAAAGGATAGATCAGGTTGCATGACTTATAAATAGCCATGGTCTCATTGTTTTACACATGTACACACACACACACACATATATATATATATATATATATATATAGAGAGAGAGAGAGAGAGAGAGAGAGAGGGGGGGAGAGAGAGAGTGACAGAAATGTGTGTGTTTGTGTGATAAAATATAGTTTTATGGTATGCTATATTTATAGCGGAATAGTGCTCAATACACCGATCACAACAGGAGCGTGGTTGCGGTTTTAGCTGGTACAGGATTAGTCATATCAAGGCTGGTGTTCATGGTACAGGATCAGTCATATCATGGTTGGTGGTCATGGTACAGGATCAGTCATAAAAAGGCTGGTGATCATGGTAAAGGATCAGTCATATCAAGGCTGGTGGTCATGGTACCTTTACAAAAAGATGTTCTCTTAATACATCTTTATCTGATAGTAGTAGATCTTGTAATCTGTTTTAAATACATGTACCCTTAGAAGCAAATCGTCTCTTTCCTTTTATTACCTGCTATAACTTCCATGATGGGGTTCTGACAGAGCCACTGATGACAACTGAAACAGGATTCAACTGCTGTCTGATTAGAGAGTTACTGGTTTGATATTTATATATATTTTCAGAATTTACTAAATAAATAACGTGTGTACTCCATTTTTTTCCTGTATGTTTTCGCTTTGTGCCATTTTTTCCTATTTTCTCAATTTACCTGTGCTATATTTACCGTGTCATTTCTACCTGTGCCATTATTACTGTACTCCATTGTTAATAATACGCCCATTGATGATAAATCCTACTAGCATTTCCAGCTCCCTTAGGATAGACTCGTTGAAGAGGTTGAATAAATCTCTGGGGAGAAGACACATCCTTCTCTTACGTACCTTTCTATTTCTACTTGGTTCATATTCTATCCATAGGCAGCGTTTTGCTCCAAGTATAATTTGGGGGATATTCTAACATCGTTTCCAAATTGATCTAGGTTTCTCATAACTTCAAAGAGATTCTAATATTTACTTGTCCTTAAAGTTGTGTATACATATATATCTTAACATCGTATGAATAATTCTCTTCGAAAGAGGTGTAGTTCGTTTCCGGCATCCCCCTAACGAATTACATCATCGTCATTTGTAAATACAGGTATCATGCTCTGCGACGAATGAAAGCGAGTCGTGGGCTTTCGGAGCAAGCTAAGCGTCTAACAAAAATTGCGTATAAATATTGATGACTCGCCAGGAAAATTTAAGAAACGTAAAAATATTACATTCTTGCCACAAGGGTTCCACAATGAGTTTAGATAAAAAGTATTGCACATGCGCAGTAGCCTGTGAATTTGCAGAACATCAGTTGATGAATATTTTCAATACATATACAGAATTATATCCATTATACGATAGTGACTATATGTATTTGTTAGTATGTGAATTTAATATTCTCGATCGTTGTCAATAAACAATTATAAAATGTAAATCGAATATTTCGTACCGACATATACGACACTTCTTCTTCTTCTTCTTCTTCTTCTTCTTCTTCTTCTTCTTCTTCTATAACTGAGAGAAGAGGTGGATCCATGCCTTTTCCAATGATATTTGCGCGTAACAGAATATAAGTACTGGTACTGGGCTCGCCGATAACCAATACCAAGCTAGTATCCATTACCCCAGCCGCACACCCTAGCTTACATCACCTGGTATTCCTAAGCAGTCACCTATCTACTTACTAAACTCGACGATACTTAACTTCGGTGATCGTATGGGAACCAATGTTTTGGTGTGATGCGGCCGTAAGCCCTAGTTTAAAAAAAAAAAGTAATTTGTTAGGGTGAAATGTTTTGAAAGTTAACTAATTTCGAATTTTTCACAGTAAACTATGATCCAGCATAATACAATATGTCTTATTTCCCATCAATCATTTATAGATATATATATATATATATATATATATATATATATATATATATATATATATATATATATATATATATGAAAAAGAACAGTAAGATATATAATCCGGTGTTCTTGTTATTTTTTATTTTTATTTTTACAAAACAGTGCTCAGTGTAAATTTACAGAGCATAAATATTATAAATTAACTGATTTAAAATATGTTTTTTTCGCTACACAGTAATAACTATGTTTCGAAAATGAAAGCTAAAAACTTTAAATTTAATTATATAATTAAATTAAAAGCATTAATTCCGTTTCATCTTCAAGCGAATATTGGAATCACTTATTTTTTAATTTACTGAGTTTTAAACACACAAATAAATTCATGACTTACTGTTTCCAAGGATACAGAGGAATCCAATTATTCAGACAGGGGCTGTAGCGCGTTCATTTTTATTAACTATTGTTGTATCAATTATGAGTTACGTTCGAAAAAGAGGTTAAGTTTAGAGAGAGTAGGGGGTTATTTTTCAAAGAATTCTGACATCCGTTAAATGCTTGTTGTATGGGTTTGTTTTTTTTATTAACGGCAAAAAGTTTTTCGGCATTTTTCCTTGTATACTCCCTGTATAAGATTTTTTGTGTGTTTGTGTTAAAATACGTTTTATTATTAAACTACAATTTTAAAATATTTTTAATCTTAATTACTAATAGACTATATTTCTTTTTAAAAACAAATAAATGTAATAGAATTACTTACATTATTTAAAATTATTTTTTCATATCAAATATAAGTATGTATATTACCAGCTTCCATTTTTTAATTTTATTTTTAAATTTATTTTTAAATATTATTTAAGGAAAATTTTTGACAATGACGGCAAAAAATAGCTATTTCATTTCACGCTACCGCCCCTGTCTGAATAATTTAATTTATTTGTATGTTTAAAACTCAGTAAATTTAAAAATAAGTTATTCCAATATTCGCTTGAAGATGAATTTCACGTACGAAGTCTTTTTCACTGGTCTTTGAACTGTCATAGCTGAAACTCCTCTCTCATGTGTGAAATGTCTTATGGATTGAGTTGGATCTTTTCTAATTGATCTATTTAGCTCAAAGTTGAAATGATATCCCTCTTCCTGCTGTGACCTCCTAATCCAGTTTTCATCTTTACTGCTTCCTCTTTTTTTAAAATTATTCACCGTTCTGTTGATGGTTCTTGAATGGACTTTAAAGATGAAAACCAAAATATGAATGCAGGTACCATTACTGAAGGCCTGAATGATCTTTTTCCTCTCACCATTGCTCAGTTGGGAAGACAGTGAGTCTGACACAAAAAAAATTTAACCTGCTCTCTTTCTAGCTGAATAACTCAACGGCCTTTTCAGTGATTCTTAAGACAAATGGTACCAAGATGGCTAAACGTTTTATCTGAACACATGAGAAAGAGAAACACAATTAGTTTAGAGTTTCTTTAAATATTAACCATTTTCTGGTGTGAACAGTTATGCTGTAACACGATTTGAACAATTTTGATTTTACACCTGGTCGATTTTACATGTCAAATCTTGCTTGGTTATTTAATGTCGTTTTTTATAAGGCTCCCAGTGAGGATTGAACTCGCTGATCAACAGTATTTATCAATTAGACCTGTCTTCGATAACCATTGTACCATGTTGACGTCCCTATATTATACAGTTGGTTGATTTTATGTTATATCAACATTTTGCATAGGGAAACCATTGAATAACCTCGCGAAACATTAACCCATATCGCGACGCGTTTTATGCATGTGTGCACATGCGCGTGTGTGTAGACGACATTTCATAAACATATTACTGTGTGAGTGCGTGTTCTATTGCTGCAGCGAGTGAAAAAGCTGAACGAGAAAGGGGTGTAAATTTCGCCTTGTTGTTCGACACAATAAACATCATTTCTTGAGAAACCGAAGTAGATAAGAGCGATCCTATATAAATATATTTCATTTATCTTCTCCTATTGTTCGACATCGGAGAATACAATGCTTTGGTGTTTACGGATTCCTTCCCAGTCTTAGCCGCATTGCAGGGCTTTGAAATTAAACGTTTTCTCTTAGCGAACCCATAAAAATAGCCTTGCTATTAAAGCGAGATCAGCTTTGACCGCCGAAAAAAAAATCTGGTTGACTCAATGCACGGAATCATTTCTTATTTATTTCCAAACAGATTCCAGGAGGTCTTAAAATATTATCTTTATCAATATTTAATTGTCGACTTCAGCGTTACAGTATGTTAAGTCTTATCTTAAATAAATTCCCTTTATTAATACAGTGTATTTGCATCTCCAAATGCACTTCTTTTCATCGTATTTATAAATATAATTTTACACACACACACACATATATATATATATATATATATATATATCTGTGTGTGTGTGTAATTTATTCGAAACTTAAAGAGTGCTCAATATATATATATAATTTATTCGAAACTTAAAGAGTGCACAATATATATATAATTTATTCGAAACTTATAACATAAATATGTTATAAAATCACTACAAAAATAGCTATTTTGTTTCAACACTTCTGATGGTATTGAATTTACCCCATCACTTGATAAGACAACAGAAATGTTAAAACAAAATGGCTATTTTTTAGTGATTTTATAACATATTTATGTTATAAGTTTCGAATAAATTATATTTGCTCTACTCTGTATTGAGTACTCTTTTAAGAATAGTATTTTTTGGTTATTAGAATTTATTCCGTATACACCAATCCTATACTTGGTAATATATATATATATATATATATATATATATATATATATATATATATATATATATATATATATATTTACAGTATACAATAGGAATTAAGATTATATTAGGGGATGATAAATAGGAAAAACAATACTGATTACAACAGGAATTAAGATTACATTAGGTGATGATTTCTATTTCAATAATTCATCATCCATTGACTAGTTTGAAATTCCTTGTAAATTATTATTTCAATTTACAAGGTGATAATGATCATCACCTTATTGTAAGAAATATGTTAATATGTTTAATTAAAACATTGACCTCTATGTGTGAATCAGTTTTAATATTTAATATTCTTATATTGTATTAATAGGATTCACTTGGAATATATACCAACGGATTATTACATTACCTGTTGTTTCTCAAAACTTAAATCTCATATATATATATATATATATATATATATATATATATATATATATATATATATATATATATGTGTGTGAAAATATATAGAAAATATAGGAGTTCTACTAATTTTAAAATAGAGAAAATTAGAAAGATTATATTTAGTGAATTTAAAAATCTAAACTTAAAATAACAGTCTGTACTAAATTAAAAAGGGTAAACTTCCTCGACGTAACTCTAGATTTAACAAACAACACATACCAACCTTATAAAAAAACAAATACTAACCCCTTATATATACACCCGAAGTCAAACCACCCTCCATCCATAATTAAACATATACCCTCTTCAATAGAAAATAGTATCAGCATTAACTCTGCTAATAAAGAAATATTTCAACAACACAGTAACTTTTATAACGCTGCCCTAAAAAATAGTGGATACAAAAATGCTAACATCAATTATAGAAACAATTGTACTAACCGGAAAAAAACAGGAAAAGAAAAATCATTTGGTATACTCCTCCGTTCAACCAAATGATTAGTATTAAGCTAGGACAGAAATTTCTAGCTTTAATTGAAAAACACTTTCCTACCAATAGTAGACTTAGTAAAATATTTAATAAAAACACCCTAAAATTAAGTTACACTGCACTGAAAATCTAGAAAGTATAATAAAAAAGCACAATAATAAAATCCTGAACAAACCCCCATGCTTGAATAGTATTAATAAAAAAAACCTACACTTAAATTAGACAAAAAAAGTGAAAAATTATGTGATTGTAGAAACCCAGAAGACTGCCCATTGAAAAATGAATGCCGCGTAAAATCTGTGGTATACCAATGTACTATCTCATCCATTGAGAGTCCTAATACTAATATGATATACATTGGGTCTACGAAGAATGAATTTAAAACCAGATGGAGGCAGCATAAGTGCTCTTTCAACTATATAAATAAAAGAAATCAGACATCTCTATCTAAATATTTTTGGCATTTGAAGTAAATGAATAAGACACCAAAAGTAAAATGGAAAATTATAAGCAAAACTAGAACTTGTAAAGCTTAGGATGATCCATGCCCTTTATGCCTACATGAAAAACTACACATTATTAAGTTTCTAAATAATAAAAATCTATTAAACAATAGACATGAGTTAACGGTTTTTGCCGACATCATCAAATTTTTGCATTGAATAATTAGCATAAAAACAAACAAACAATAAAATAATTTTTAAATTCCATAGTCCTAAAAAATAGTTTAAATGCCCTACAAAAAAAAGATAACCCTTTATGAAGTCGTCAAAAAAAATGTTAGCGACTTACGACAGTTTTTATATACACAAAACCCTTTCAGAAGAAAATAAAAAATAAAATAAAAAATAAATAAATCTCCATAGACACTTAACTAGACTAGACGATGTCATCTTCCGCTTTAAATTTAGACACCTTACCCTGACTTGACATCTGTGAATGTGACTTAGATATTGATACAAATTATTAACACCTTACAGTGTCAATCTCAATCTTCTGTCTTCTTGAGTACTGTTCGTTTTATTGATTTTTTGCTTCAGCAAAATGTTGTCATATTCAGTATTCCCTTGCATCTTAGTGGCAGTATTGCCTTGCATGAGATGAAATAATTCGAAAAAAATGACATTCTTTTGCAACATGAAATGCCGGCCTTGTGAGTAAAGACAACCTCCTTAACATCTACTCGCGTTCCGCTTCAGGGTTAGAAAGA